GCCACAGAGCGGGGGCGGCTGGGCAACGCGGCTGGGCACAGGTGCGCGGGCGGGCGGACATCGCCGCGGGCCTCCGCCCCGGGCCTTGCCTGCTGCTCGAAGTGGATGGTGCCCTGCACCGGGCCGTCGCCCTTCAGCACGCACACGGCCTTGGTCGCCATGACTCGCGGGGCGCGCGGGCCGGTCAGGGGCCGAGGACTGCGCTGGACACACGCGACGCAGCAGGACACACCGGAGCAAACCGACCTGCGCGGGGCTCGGCTGCTTTATAGGCCGGAGCTCAGCGCCCGCCCACCCTGGCCCAGAACCAATCGCCGCCCGCGGGATCTGCCCCCTCCAATGGCGGCCTGGGACGAGTGCTGCGCGGGGGCGGGGCTAAGGGCCTCGTGGGGACACCCGCCCCCGGCGCCGGTCCGCTTTACCTCGCCTGAGAAGGCTCTAGAAGGCCAGGCCACGGAGAACGACCTTTCGCCTCCAAAACGTGTAATCCGCTGATCGGTCCCGCGGAACCCGGGAAGACGAGGTCTGTACATCCGGCCGCCCGGGAGATCTGAAGCTGCTTCGTCCAGAAATGTAATAAATAAGGACTGAGTTTGGTCATCTCGTCCCATTTGCTTCAGGACCTACCAAGATGGATGCTTTTGTAGTTTTCATTTTTATTCTGTTTTAGGTTGTCTGATGGTGTTTAAAATTGAGACTTTTCAAACTCTGGCCTTCTTTTGCAGTTTTCTTAGTTCCTGGCACGCAGAATTTCTGGTCTGGTTAGCAGGATTTTGGTTTGGGGCGGGGGAGTTCTTTTGTTTTCTGGCCAAGGCACAAGGTACCAAAATAACCCCGATTGGCTTTTGTGCCTCGTGCATTTTTTTTTTTTTTTTTTTTTTTAATCTGTGCTAAGGCCACACACTCAAGGACAAGGATAGAATGGTTAAGTAATTTATTCCAGCTCCATACAACAGAGGAGAGAAACGTTAATCTTTCAAGGAAAACATTTCAACAACATTGTGAAATGAGCAAACAGTGCAAACTATTTTCGTGGGTGTTTTTTTTTGTTTGTTTGTTTATTTTTGTTTTTAATAAAAGGATCAACGTGTTTACATGTGTGCTCAGCAGTGTCTAGAAAGACAGAGCGATCAGAGGTACCTCTCCGGAGTGCAAAATAAACCGTCCCTGAACTTGTTGTTACAGTGAACATGCATCAGGCTTTTTAAAACCAGAGGGCAATGGGGAGAGGAGAGTGTGCACCCTGCAGCCCCTGGGGTGTTGGGGAATCACACAAGTGGCCCACTGTTTTCTGATCAAGAGTAGGTTCACCTAACCTGCAGGACACGCTGTTTCACCTGAGTGGCTCCTGGAGTGGCAGGTGGCAGTGCCCTGGCTCTCAAGGTGTGGGGTGAGGCCTCAGGAGTTGCACTGATGCCTTGTTCCCTGGGGAGCACTTGTGTATTGATGGCATTCCTTGTGCCCCGTGAAACGCAAGCTGGGAACAAGACCTTACTTCAAGGAGAAGAAGGTGAGAAGAGGGCATCACAGGACAAGTTAAGAGAAAGAGACCACAGAGAGGTGCTGCCCTGGGACCACCTTTGGGGATTTCTGTTCTGTTTGTTTTGTGGGGTTTAAAGTGTCTGCCTCAGCAGCTGTTAGTACAATCCACATCCCCCCTACTGATCGGAAGGCAGGATTCATTTTGTAAGGTTTTTTTGAGACAGCGTTTTGCCATGTGTTGTGCCTCAAACTCATGGATCCTCCTGCCTCCGCTCCTGAGTGCTGGGATTACCAGTGTGCACCACCACATCCAGCAGGATTTAGTTTTGAGGAAAACAGGGTACTGAAGTCTAAATCAAGCCCTCTATGAAACAAGAACAGAAACTACTCCAGCCACCTTTGGGGTACCCTTTCAGTTATTTATCTATGTAGACCATGTAATTCTAATGCATCAGAGGTAAGCACCCTGTTATGTTCACATAACATGCTGCCATTAAGAAGTGTGCATATTTATTTGTTTGTTTACATAATAGGCTTAGTACAGGGTCTCACTATACAGATTGGACTCACAGTGATCCTCCTGTTTTCAGCCTCCCCAGCACTGGGATTACAGAGAGCCACCATACCCAGTCTCAGTCGCCACCTCAGCTCGCCCCGGGGGTGGGGCCAGCACTTCAACCCACTGAGCTATCTGGCCAGCCCTGAAGTGTGCATATTTATAATTTGCCTGTTGTATTTACTAGCATTCTCCAGATAATTGCATGCTAAACAGTTACCTATGTGAAAATGCCAGCCGAAGGGCTCCTGCCCAAGGCCCAAGTTTCTTCAGCTTCCAAAAAGTTGGCAGATTTCACTTCACTGTAAATTTGCCAAGAATGCAGCTCATGGATACAAAGAACTGCGCTCTGATAGTTACAACTCTCTGGCTGTTCAGAGGAAGCAAGAACAGTCCTTGGACAGGGAAGGGCCTTGTGTCCTGCAGACCAGAGACACTCTGGTTTGGTGTGGTCTGGTTTAGTTTGGTTTTCTTGAAACAAGGTCTCACCATTGGTTCAGGCTGGCCACCAGCCCCCCTTAAGTGCTCGGCTTACAGGTGTAGACCACCATGCCCATTAGAAGAGGCATTCTGAGCGTCCTTCGTAAGTGCTCAGCTTACAGGTATGGACCACCATGCCCAGCAGGAGAGGCATTCTGAGCGTCCTTCCTAGTTCCTCATCCAGGGCCAGGCCAGGCTCTACACTTCAGAGGCCAAGTTCTTTTTTGTTGTTGTTGTTGGGGTTTTGTTTGTTTTGTTTTTTGTCTTTTTGAGACAGGATCTCTCTGTGCAGCTCAGGCTGGCCTTGAGCTTGCTTTGTAGCCCAGGCTGGCTTTGAACTTACAATGATCCTCCTGCCTCACCCTCCTAAGCACTGGAATTATAGGCATGCTTCACCATGCTCAGCTCAAGGCCCTGTTCTGTCCCTCCTCAGGTGACATCTCCCAAGAATCAGTACAGCTGAGAAGCTACACCCATGTACCCTTGCAGCTCCTAGAATAGGACTGTGATGAGTTGCTAACCCTGTGATACCGTGCTTACCAATATTTGTGTCCTCTTAAATCCAGTCCCCTCACCTCCTCACTGTAGGGCTGATAAGTCCTTGCTGAGGAGGTTTAGTGGCATTCCTGGCTTCTTCTCGTCAGATACTAGTGTCATCCTCAATCTGTGACACCTTCCAGACTGTGACAAGGAAAATATATGCAGACAGTGCCTGTGCACCCCTAGTTGAGAATCATGCTCTAAAACACTGAGGAAACATCCAAGACCCGAGGATCCCCTGCTTGAAGAGCCTGGATGTCATGAATAGGTCAAGTGAGGACTGTGCCCCCAAAGCTGACCAGAGGCCCCTCCCAGTGTGACAAGGACCAGAGGTGAGGAGATGAGTAAAGGCCAGTAGCAGACAGAAATCAAGAATTCCACTTGGGAATGAACCTGCCTTCAGATCCCTAAAAGGCATTTATTGAGACAGGAAGATGGGATATATTTTGTTTAGCTGTGTTTTGACTTATGACATCTAACTACTTCCCACAGGGTATGAGGGCCTCTGTTTTATCTTAGTCCTGCAAAAGTTAGGGCAGGCCCATTCCCTGCAGTCTTGGCTTTCCACCATCCTGTGGCTTTGGAGTGCTCCTGCTGCTCTCACGGAATCACATAGTCCCTGTGTTTCAAACTGGTGTGTGCCAGAAAGACAGAGACTGAGAACTTTGAAAAGTTTCCTGCTGTACCAGGTCAGTTTCATGGAGGCATTATCCCCAAGGAGTGCATGGACGCCTACTGTAGCTGGGGCCTTGTCCACCTTGACGGACGCCTACTGTAGCTGGGGCCTTGTCCACCTTGACTTAAACATGACCCAGAGAAACCGAGCAGTGTGGAGCGCAGAGGAGGCGCGGGTACCTTTCACAGGACCGCAGTGTGTGCTGAGGGCTAAGCAGAGTCTGATGTGGCATTCTGGGCATTCCTGAGAGCGGGGGCTTCGTGCTTGGGGACTCTGGCCATGAGCTGAACAAACAGAGTGGTGATGCACTCTCGGGTTTCTGTCATTTGCCTCTTCCTCCTCATTCTTAGGACTCTTCTTATGTTTTTCCTTTTACCTCCTCTTTCTCTTTCCACAAACTAATTTTTCTTCTGTGACCCTCACTGTTGTCAGGAAAGATGCAGCTTTCTGTAAGCCTCCTGCCCATGCATTACAAGGGATGTCACCAAGACCGTCCTGAAGTCTTCTCAGTACATCAGAACTAAGTGAAATCCAAGTGACACAAACTACAAAGAGATTATTTTCTTTGAGATGGAGTGGTGGTATTTTTCAGACCTGAAGATTGACAGGGATCAGTCCAGGTCTGATCAGTTCCAGAGACTGGAATTTTGCATAATTCTGAGTTAGCTGCACGTTTAATCATCTGGACAATGATTCCTGTCATTTGCAAAATTCTGATCTCAGGCTATTCATTCCCGCACTGTGGTGGGAATGTAAATTCACTAGGACTGTGGAGAACAATACGTAGCCCTCAGCATAACTACCACATTGATACCCCAGTGCTGGAGTTGTGTCCCATGATGATGAAGAATGAATTAAACTGGATGGGTAGGGTACAGGCAAATAAAGTTAAAAGCTATAAATACAAGGAACTAAAATGCCGCTAGCCAAAAGGGATCGTGAGCAGGCTGCCCAAGAAGGTTCTTTGTCTAGGGGCTTCAAAGGGGTTTAGAAGGGAGTGCTGGCCATTGGGCAAGCGCTGTGATCTCTACCCCACAGGAGGCCATGCACATTTTAGGCCCTGTCTGTGTGGCATTGATCACCAGCTGGGTCTTCTCCCAAGCTTCACCCAGCCCTCGGTACCACACTCACTGATTCCTGTCTCAGAATAAGAACTTCCAGGAACTCCAGAAAGAGAGCAAGTAGGACTTCTTAGGCAAAGGCAGAGTATAGGGACTGATCATAGAGTAAAAGCACAAAAGACCCTTTATAGTAAAGCAGAAGCAGACAGCCTCTGCGGAAATGGCTCTAGGAGTGGGCCGGGGAAAGGTTGGCCCATCTGACTCCCCACTTAGGGGGTTGGCTCTCAATAGCAACTACAGGGGCCAGGGAGTTGGCTCAGTGGAATAAGCACTTCCCTGGCAAGCGCAGGGGCCTGAGTTCAATCCCTGGTTCTGCAAAAAAAAAAACAAAAAAACAGTGACCACATTACCAAAATTTCCAGTGAATGCACAACAAAGACATTCATAGAGGGGTGTGGC